GCAAATAGACTGCAGCGTGAACCGGAAGTAGGTGGGCAGCACTGCGCTGCAGCAGAAGGAAAAACCACCGCCAAATCCACTCACCGGAAGAAGTCGTCGCGGCAAAAGAGCTGACCGCCGCGACTGAAGCAGCGGTCGGAGAGGGCGACGCCGCAGTCGCAACACCGCACACAGGCCGAGTGCCAAGCTCGGTCCAACACGCTGAAAATGAACCGGTCCAAAATGGGCTTTTCGCAGCCGGCGCAGAACACGCGCCTCGCGTCGTTCGGGCACAGCACCATCCCCGCCGGACTCTGGCGCACTGACCCGCCGCCCGCCCAAGCCGGCCCTCCTGCTTCCCCGACGACAACTGGGACCGGGGACCACGCCCGCCCGTCCCGGCGGAAAGGGGCGGAGCGAGTGAGCGACTAGGCCCCGCCTTCCGCCTCACCCTCAGCCACAAGCGAGAGAGAGACACAGAGAAGAAGAAGAAGGGAAAAAAAAGCTCCCGGCAGGCGACGAAGGGAAGCACCCTCCCTCGTCGTCGGCGGCGCCTTCTTCGAGGCGTCGCAGGCAGCAGCAGCACTCGGTGTTAACCCTTCGGTGCCACCCCGTATTTCCAACTGCAACACACGTGGGTACAGTGCACGATCCGGTCACGAGAGAAGAGTTGCTTTCAAAGTTGACCCGATTATCCCCCTGATTTTGCCTGCTTTATTCAAAATCACTGGACACCATATACAGTATACAGTGAGACTCCCACATGCAGACACCTTGCCCTGCAGACAATTTGACATAGGGACACTTATTTTATCATAAAAAATTGATAAAAATGGCCCAACATGAGGAAATTGACTCAACATAGGGACATTTTGTTATAAAATTGTGAACACATTTCAGGCCAAATTACAAGAAACAGATATTCCCAACCCTAAAATTGATGTAAAAAAAGTTCTTGGGCATTTCTCACCAGTTTACCATCCATTTAGCAAATTTAAAAAATTACCTCCAGCAGAGAGGGACTTCATTCTCTCTTTTTCACTTGAATATTATTTTTACAGAGAATGCCAACATTTCTATGTACTGTACAGAGATATCAGTATTGAATTCCCCAAATGCCCATATTGTGTTGAAATATATTGATTGAAATCAGTTTAAATTGCGAGACAATCTTTATTTTCATGGAATTATGATGAGTATTTTGTACATAAAACACCAATTAAAATTATATGATGTGAGTCTAAGGGAAAATGAGACTTGACTTAGGGACATTTTGACTTGGGGACAATCTTGATGCACCAATTATGTCCACATCTTGGGGTCTCACTGTACTTGAGTATCCCACCTTGCATCACACGTTTTTTGCTTGAAAATGTTGACCAAGAAGAAAACAGGTTAACTTCATCCTTGAGTAACGTTTCCTGCAATTTTTCCAAAATTCTCGCGCACATTATCCTTGGACTGCATAATAAAAAAAATCATTACAAGGCAACAAAAGCGAAGTCATGCAAGTAGGTGCAAATAAACCCTAGTTCAACTTTTAAAAACGTCAATATTAAGAAGTCAACATTTGCAACAAGTGATCTTTGACGCCACATGTTGGATACAGGCTCCTTCAAAATTTAATGTCATATTATCAGAAGGATGTGCCCAACTGATGCAAAAGCATCTGGTACTCAGGTAAGTGAGTACAGTATTCTCACATGCACCTGCTATCGGAAACTAAAAATAAAATTTATCTTATTATCAATGACTTGATTTTATTAAAGATAAATCGTCGTAGTTATATTCCAGGAATATCTTTATTTGCACAGAAATCTTCTTGATAAAAATGGCTATATCGTTTTTCCCGATGACAAAATTTGCAAATCAAGCGCTTGCAGGTGAATTGTTTACCGCACATGTTTTTGGCAGCAAAATTGCTGGGCATTATCAAGCTTTTGAACATAATTGATGAAAGAAGCTTTTGGGGGGTATTTTTCTTCCTTCAGGAACAGGATTTCTTTACGGATCCATCACATGTTCCCTGCACTTTCTGCAACCCACTTGACCTGACCTGACCAAAAAAACTGCTATGTGCATCACGTTCCGATTAAGTTTGATTGCCAGTAGTCAGTAGTCCTTTTATGAGTACTGCACAAAGCATATAATTTTGGTCTGCGTCCTTAATATTCAGGCAATTGAAGCTCAATACAGTACTGTATTCAGTCCAACTTTGCACATGGTACTTTTCATCAATTGTATGTCAATTTATCCTGAACTAGCTCATCTTTAGAAGGAGCAATAATGTTTGTAGGTTTTTAACCATTGGATGGCATCAAGCCAAATTTCACCCCGCAGCAGCGCCACAATAATTTCGCATAATTGTGCATTTTGGCTTGACCAAAGGTCACCAAATTGCAGATTTGGCTGAGAGTAGCCAAAGTCTGGAAAAATCTGGGACAGGGAAAAAGGAAAGGCATTGTCCTCACAATCCGTCATTGTTAATCCTATGGCAGGAATGCTAAAAAAAAAGTTTGGGTTTTCTGGACTTTGGCATCTTCTAATCATTCTTGTTGTCTTGCTTTTTTGCGAGGCACAACATTTCGCAGATAAATCCTGGCACTGCCACCCAAGGGTTGAGAAAAATTTTGGCTGAACTGATTGAAAATGGTATTGAAGATGGCAGATTTGTGGGATAATTCTTTGGGCATAAGGGCCCCAGCAAAAGGAAGACTGGATTTAGTATATCAGTGGAACACAATGAATAAGCATGCCAATTTACCATTTTGCACCCAATAACAAGTATCCAGTGGGACACAAGAGTAAGAATCCAAAACTGAGCACACTTTCACTTCACCAGACTGATTTCATGATTTTAACGGGGAGTAGTGCATTTTATTGCGCGAGAATTGTAAAATCAGTAGCCTTACATGATCCATAGGATTCTTAGACCTTCAGGCGGTGCGAGATTCTTTTCCATCTTGTGGAAGCCACTTCTACTATAACTTTTTTCTCATTGCCGCTAGGCACATTCTAATTTGACGAAAGGTCTGAAAAAAGCGATCTTTTCAACTACTGTACAGCAAAAGGCCAAGATTTTCCTAGAGGAGTAAGCCCTATTGTTTTCTGAATCATTCCCGTAATTCCCTAGTAGAGATTTAGAAACAAATCCCCAAAGAGAAATTTGTTACACAAACTTTTTTTGCACTCAGAAGGAGAGAAAAAATAATTTTTCCTTTCCTTGAATTATGCTGATCAGTTTATGTTTTTTTATGATTTGTTGTTTGGCACGATTTGTTTTCTCAAAACTGGCTCTGTTGCGGAATGGTTGATGCCAGCTGAAAATCCAACAGTGTTACCGTTAATATTCGCTGAGTTTCGCAATTCAGGAAAATGCAAAAAAAAATATTTGCTTTATTGAAGAGTCTTCAGTCTTACTTGCTTTTTCGGTTCCCTTCTTCAAATAAACAAGAGGACTCCGTGAATTTTCCCAGGCAATAAAAGTTGTGGACAGCTTACCTGCAATGCTGAATAATGTTCCCCTGCAGTACCTGAAAGGCATGCACTGCCCAGTTTCTGCGCGCGAAATTCCACAGGGGGGTCCATGAAAAATCGACTCACAGTTCAGTTTTAAAGCGTGAATAATTCAGCTTGAGTGAGCAGTATTGCGGAAAAGTCTGCTTAGATTATTCTGCACCTCTGATGAACAGCTTTCTGGCTTTACAACCCTAGGACATGTCCGAAAATAATTAATGCCCTCCACGCCGTCGGGCGTTGTTGGGGAACCAGAACTAGGGCCCAGGGACATCAGGTCCCAGGACCTGAATTCTGGTCCGTTTTTCTTCAGGCATCCATTCCCTGGATGCACAACTTCTTTGATGCACATTTATCCAGCCAATCACATGCAAGGGAAAAAGTCCAGTGATTTGGTCAGGTTAACCCCAGCACTCTTCCACTCCCAATAATCAGTCCTTGAAATTAGCTCTTACAGTAAACTTCCCTCAAAACATTGCAACCCCAATTCTTCTGATTGAAGTGTTGCTTTGCATCATTGCACCCTAAATTTGTGTGCATAAATTTATTGTCTTCATTGAATGTGTGTTGCATTATTTCATTGAATGTGTGTTGCATTATTTCATTGAATGTGTGTTGCATTATTTCATTGAATGTGTGTTGCATTATTTCATTTATTGTGATGCATTATTTTTTTATAGTGTTTGATTGTGATTTATTGTGGACTGTGATTAAACCAGACAAAACTAGGGATATGTAATTAAGGTACCCGCTTAATCTCATATTCCAGGCTGCAAACCTGCTGATTGCCATGCCTTATTCTTTCCCACCTTTTCTTCCACTGTGCTATGGTTCAATTCTGTATGTTTGGTTGATTATTCCCTATAACAGGCATCATTTGAAGGCCTTTGTGGATTTTTGCAGTTTTGAAAAAAAATCACATGCATAAAAACTGAGGAGAAACTATGTCTGATTGAAAATTGCAGTTCTGGCTATCAAAAATTGTCAGCAGATGCCTGAAATGTGCAGCGGATGAATTGCTGTAAATTCTCCAGAATTCTGGAAGCCCTTTTCAAGTTTTGGCAAATTCAAAGAATTTCCTCCACTGCTTTTCATGAAGTGCGATATGTATGTTGTCTGTGTATGCATTGTCTGTTCTTGCATTTTCAAGCCTTTTCTAAGACTTTTTACAGTCAAATTTGATACTCTTATGCATCTATATTTTTGTATTGTTAAGACTGCACCTGTAAGGCTAGCGTCGAAAAAAATCATTAAGAGAGATCATCAAGAAAAGAGAACCAGGAACCAAGCTTATAGAGAAATAGCAGCACATTATTGTTTCAGAATATAGTCGCAATTGAAATTACAGCATTTACCCACATACATATTTTTTCTGGAAAATCCAGACTGAAAAGTGGGTTGATTGTGGTATGCAGTTTTGAACCAGAGAAAATTATGAAACCATCATATTTGTTTAGTCATAAGTTCTCCTCAGGCAAACATGAATAGAAAAGTACTGCTTGACACTAATACTGATTCAATTACTTATGTTATTTGTCTTCATTACAAGGTTGATTCGTAAAAAAACTTTTATTCCATGAATAAATTTTGAGTTTTAGCCAACAAAAAATGCCGTTTGAATCTTATACCAGCAGTGTAGGATTTTGTGCAAATTTTGAAAAAAAAACACAATACAAGCACTGTATTAGTCATGGGCATATGGTGTTCAAGTAAATATGAATGAATGAATGAACAGAACACTTTATTTGCCACTTTTCAGCTTTCACAAGGTTCAATCAAGATTTCCACAACCAAACCCCTTTCCCACCCAACCCAAATCCACTCAATGGCATTTAATCACTTCAGTGCAGGAAACAGAGCACAAATTGATGGCAACAATAAAAGAAAATACAATCCACAAAATACAACTGGTCATCTGACATGTATGCATACACCCATTCATTCCCTGACATTGAAAAGTAAATATGGTATCATGGCCAAGAAAACTGAAAAAGCCGCTGTGTAGAACTATTTGTGTAGAAAATGAACATTTCTCAAACGTTTTATTATTTTTTCTTGGAGAATTCTTTTATATCAAGATCTTTTGTCTGGGAATGAGATCTTTTTTTTTTTTTTAGAATTTTACCTCCGGAGAAATTTTGCTCCACATCAAGACAGTTTCACACAAGGAAACTCGCCCAGGAAATGATCAACTTCTTTACAGGAGGGCCTGCTGTACACTGTATAAATAAAAATAAAATAAAAATGTCAACACTTGAAAAAAAAGGCAGCTTTATACCGAAACATCACTGCTGTAGTGTACAGTACATTCAAATACCGGAATTATTTTCCAGATCCGCCTCTTCATCCCTCGTTTTTTTTTTCCTCTCGAATTTCTGCGTTTCCTCCACCACACCGGGTCGACACGAAAATTCTGTCGGTTGGGAAAACAAAACGATTCTTCAAGGCAGCCTTTTGAAAGCATTCTAC